AATGGGGCAGCTGAGACCTGGGGTTATATGATATCTACACTATGCCTCGACATATAACGATATTGTGGCCAACATCAGTGCGATAACTAAGGTTGGGCGTCCCGCTGGGAAAGCCGGCCTAATGTCTAACTTAAACAGTCCAGGTGGCTCGGTGTTGACATTCTTGAGCCTGACAAGCCTGGCCATTCTTCAATATGGGTTACTTATATGTTAAAAAAAAAATATATTTGTATTATTAAAAAAACCCATGTTTCTGCTAAGTAAGTAAAATTAATTGTCGCAAATGATCGTGAAATTGGATGATGATGAAATCCACATAACCTATCATATCATGTGACACAAAAGTCAACATTCTAAAAATTCTGAATTTAGTAATAGTGTTAGAGTTAGGCTTCAGGACTTGTATTTGGGTATTAGGTGACTTGTATTCAGGCGTTAGAGTTAGAGGTCAATTTTATATTATATTAAACTCTAATTCAAATAATCTAAATATGCGATAATTTAAGTCTTTATTTTTATTTACAAAAAAAAATCAAGTTCTCATGCTTACAAAAAAAACAATTACTTTAGAAAATTTCTGCCTCAAAAAAACGAGGTTATTTTTTTTTTTTAAAAAAAAAATCTATTGCTTCTAGACCTGTTAAAAAAAATCTAAAAATTTCTCACTATAAAAAATCACAATTTTTGTTTTGTTTTTTTTTTTTTTAAAAAAAAGGGCTCACTTAGAAAATTCCCACCTTAAAAAACTGATTTTTTTTTTAAAAAAAAAGGCATTGCTTAGAAAATTTCTGCCTTAAAAAACTGATTTTTTTTTTTAAAAAAAGAAAGGCATTGCTTAGAAAATTCCCACCTTAAAAAACTGATTTTACTTCTTTTTTAAAAAAAAAAAAAAGTCTATTGCTTCTAGACCTGATTTTTTTTTTATTTCCCGCAATAAGAAACCTTGTTTTTTTAAAAAAAAAAAAAAAAAAGAAAAAAGAAAAAGGCATCACCCACTTATCCACCTATTTAAATACTGCTGTATAATCAAGTCATAACTTGTTTGTACGGCCTTGACTTGCTTAATAGAAACCCAAATATCTTTGCCATTCACTTTAATAATCATAGTTTGATTGTTTGAAGTAAGTGATTTAAATATATCTCACTGGGAAAAGGTTGGCCATAGCTTTCTTTTTCTAGTTTGCAGATTCATATTGTGATCTGGCACAATAGCAATTGTGGCTTTGGCTTCAATTGTGTTATTGGCCATTTTTTTCGATATATACTACCCTCCAATATATTCTTGCATAATATTTCCCAAGCAATGTATTTATGGATTCATAAAGTTCTAACATTTGTAATATATGTTCTTCTACAGCTTTGAACTCAACAGTGGCAGATTTGGAGGTTTTGGCAGTAGTGGTTTTGGTGGTGGTGGTTTCAGTGGTGGTGATCTTAGTGGTGGGAGTTTCAGTAATGGTGGTTTCTGAAATGGCTTTCTCAACAACATTCCCAGAGGTGCCTATTATAAAAAAAAATAAATATTAAACTTATAATTCTAAAATATCCCTAAGCACTAATTGCTCTAACTCTATTCTAACTCTACTAGCTCTATCTTAAAGCTAGTAGGGTTAGAATAGGGTTCGAATAAGGTTAGAGGCCTCTAACCCTATTCGAACCCTATTTTAACCCTAACTCTAAGTTCTTATTTTTAGCATTAGATTTATACAATAAAATATTTTCTAATTTTGTAAGAAATTTTGATTAAATTTAATAAAGATAAAGCAAGATTTCACTATTAATATTAAAAAAAAAATTGTAATAAGAATAAAATAAAGAAATTGTAGCATCTTGACAATTTAATTATGGATATTCTATAAAATAGGTAGGCAATATAAAAATAAACTTCACTGATTAATTATTTTTAATAGATATTTAGTGGAGTTGTGAAGTTTGCAGAGTTTGCCTACCTATTCTATAGAACATTCTAAATTATTACTAAATCTAATAAAAGTTGTAATAAGGTTATTGTAATATCATAGCAATTTTATTATTAAAATTGGTATGGAATCTTAACAAAATTATTACTAGATTTATATGTAATTGTAGTAATATTGTGACAATTTTATTATTAAAATTATTATAATATTTTAACAAAATCATTACCTGATTTTTGTATAGTTTTAGTAAAATTATTGTAATATTATAACAATTTTATTATTAAAATCTTTATAGTATTTTAACAAAATTGTTACTAGATTTTTGTATTATGGTTACAATATAATAGTTATAAGGTAAAAATATTGTAGACCCAAATTTTTTCTGAATCATAGTTATATTGAAATAATATTGTCACTATATTATAACAACATTATCAAAAATTTATAAGATTTAATAAATTATAATTATTTTTACTTATTAAAATATAAGTTTATTATATATTTAATATATTTTAATTAGGGATTTATAATTTAGTGCAGAGTGTACCTCTATAGCAAATTCAAACCTAATAATAATTAAAGTTGAGATTAGTAAGGGTTAGGGTTTGGGTTAGAGTTAGATAAAATTATAAGAGGAGCATTTTTACTTACACAACAGGTTTACCCTAGTAAAATTTTGAAATATAGCAAATAATAGTTAAATTAAGATTAGTTAAGATTAGTGTTAGGGTTAAGTTAGGGTTTAGGGTTAGGTAAAATTGCAAGAGGATCTTTTTTGTTAGTCGCATGACAGGGGTTATCCTAGTAAAATTTTGAGATATAGCTAGGGTGCACTGCAGTACACGTGCACACATTTTTAAAACCCTTTTAATTATATTAATTTTTTTAAATTATAATTTTAATATATTTTTAAAAATTTTTTAAAAACTTAAAAATTATTATGATAACTTAAATATAATATTTTTACAATATTGTTTAAATATATCTAGTATATTTTTTATATTATTTTTATATTATATTTTATTTTGCACTATTCTAAATATATAATAAAAATAGTTTAATTTTATTATAATTATATTTAGGCAAATTTATAGATTTCTGTAGAAGAGTTTGTTATCCGCTCTCCCAAACCTATAGCTACACCTATAACTACTGAATATTGTCATCATTAAAACAACGATAATATGCAGAATTTATAGAGGTCACAAAATCATTTTGTCGGGATTCTACATATTAACATTGTTTTAACAATGGTAGCATGAAGAATTCATAGAATTAAAAACTATTGCAAAGAGCGATAAATAAATGATAAATTAGAATTTTCGTCTATAAATCCATATTTTTTGTTCTGAGAAAAAAAATTTCTTGCTTTGCATCAACAAAAACCCACTCTAACTAGAATTCTTGGCCTGATAAAAAATCTGACAAGCCAGACCATAATCACATGATTTATTTGTATTAATTTAATTAGGTAAAATTTTTTTCTAAAGAATCTTCATATATTATCATTAATGGTAAAAGGAGGTCTTCTCGATTGTTACAGTAACCAATGTTATAAATTTAAAAAATTTTAATAGCACAAGCGCGTATTATATATGAATGATATGCGCGCGAACTATAAAATCATGTTTAAAATATGCGCAAAAAATTTGTTATATATACGAAGTAAAATTATAATACGCGCAGAGCGTCAATGATTTTCAAAAAATATGTGCAAATTTAAGTTTATGATTAACCATAGCTGCCGCAAGAAATTTGGACCAGCAGATCCTCGATTTTGATTGGCTAACGGCCCACATTACAAAATTGGTTACTAATTTCCGGCCGGAATTAGCTTTTTAATTTTTTTATTACAAAAATAGAAATTCTTAAAAAAAAAGCCCGCGTTATGGTAAAATTGGCCCAGGAACAATTTTCATTTAATTGGCGGCTATGATTTCATTAGTAAAATGATGAGTAATTCCGGCCTAATCTTTTTATCGTCGCTCTTAGCCAATCAAAATCGAGGATCTGCCGGTCCAAATTTGTTGCGGCAGCTATGATTAATAAGTTAATGAGTGCTGCGCCTATTCCATATATCCAATTTACATCAATGACAGTAACAGGTGCCCTACCTTGTTTAATGCATCGGGTACGTTGGGTACAACCTGAGTTTGTATAAGAAGAGCTTTTCTTGCATTGCTCATACAGAAAACATTTTCAATTATAATTATAATTGGAAACTTTACTTTGTATTTACAATGCAGGAAGATGCAAACCCGGGTTACACTCGATGTACCCCCGACACAATTTCGAAAGGTAGGGAGCCGTTAAAAATCAGGAAGACCTCTGCCTTGATACATAATAGTATGCCTTTAGACTCAATAGCATGCTTTGGTGGCATGGCATGGACTCTCACGCCAAGCACCCAAACACTAACCCTAAACTTAACAGCAGAATTTATTTTTATAAATAAAAATTTATTGATAGTTATGTTACACCTAATCTTTGTTTACGGTTACAATAATTTATAGTTACAAACAATTAATTTTAAATAAATATTTAAGATAATATGGCAACACCAGGCTTAAACCACCCTTTTGAAAATTCTAGTTCCTATGCCGCTTTCATAATAAGATCCAATTCGATATTGTCTATCAGAATTCCCACCTTTAGCGGATTTTAAAAACCATTCAAATGCCTTTTTATAATACTTAGCTATGAGATTGATAGCATCATTTATGTAACTACTTTCTACAATCATTTTTAATTAATCCTTAAAATGTTAAAACTTAAAGTCAAATATACAATTTTAGCCTTGCTAGCTCTGATGTTTTATGTATTATTTATGTTATATTAAATACATATTTGAAATATTATTTTTTAAGTATAAATAATGATTTGCAAGAAAATAAAGCAAATACTGGTCAAATAAACAAGGCTAATGCATGCTTCGTGATTCTGTCTCAAAATAGTGAATTAAATATGGTTATAAAATCAATGCGCCAGCTTGAAGCTACATTTAATAGTAAATATAATTATTCATAGGTATTTTTTAATGATGAACCTTTTACACAAAAATTTATAAAGTTCACAAGCTCTATGACTAATGCAAAAACTGAGTACGGTAAGTTATTTCAAAAAATAAAATTATGTTATTAACTTAATTTATGACTTCGAATGTAAATGATCGAGATGATTAATTGCATGGTGTGAAGAATTATTTATACGTTGTAAAATATTAAAACATCTATTTATAAAAAATATGCATAAATAAATTTTTTCATTTATCATCCTAGGAGTGATTCCGAAGGAACATTGGAATATTCCAGATGATATAGATATGAATCTTGTTAATAAAATAGGAAAATAATGGTAAGAAATAGGATACCATGTGGTGATAGCTTGTCTTATCGTCAAATGTGCAGGTAAACGTTACAGTATCTTTCGCAACTAATTTAGAATTTTTTAAAATTTTTTTCGTTGGTTGATTATTACTTTTATGATGATTATTAGTTTATGATAATTATTATGATTTATTTAGATTTTATTCCAGATTTTTCTATCAGAATGAGTTATTAAAAACTTATGATTATTACTGGCGTGTTGAACCTAATGTTGACTTTTATTGCGATATTGATTTTGACCCATTTGTATATATGAAAGAGAACGATATTAAATATGGTATTAATATTGTTTACATTCGATAATATTGTTGTTTTTTTTTGACATAATGATTCTTTCAACTAATTGCTTACTTATAATTTATAAACATTGATTACCTTAGGATTCACTCTTGTACCATATGAATCATTAGCAATTATACCTACACTTTGGGGTACTGTCAAAGAATTTATTAGAATGTATCCAAATTTAATTGAAGATGATAGTATATTTGAATTTATAACTGATGATCATGGTAAAACATATAATCTGTAAGTTTGTTAATTCATGTCAAAATATATTTTTATTGCCTGCATATAACATCAAATAAAATTAATAATTTTAGGTGCCAATTTTGGTCAAATTTTGAAATTGCTGATCTAAATTTTTGGAGAAGCGAAGCCTATACAAAATTGGTTAATTTTCTTGACAAAAAAGGTGGATTTTTTTATGATCGGTTAGTGCATTGGCTTTAGTTATAATATTATAAAACTATGTATGTTAGTACTTATTTAGATCTCAATTGTCACAATTGTTAAACTAAATTTATTTATTATAGGTGGGGAGATGCACCGATTCATACAATTGCAGCAGCCCTTTTCTTGGAGAAACATCAAATTCGTTTTTTCGAAGAAATTGGGTATCACCATGGTTCTCTTATAAATTGTCCTAAAGGAAATAGGCTTCAATCTAAATGTCGTTGCGATCCTGTTGATAGTGTCGGTAAGTTCCAATTGGCAAATTTTGTAGTCTCAATTAATTTAATTATTAATAATTTTATATTATTAATCAATTTTATATGTGGCTTAATTGACATTGCAGAAAATAATAAATTTGAATCACATTGCATTATGAGGTGATTATTTCATTTATTTTATTAATGTTTCGAAATTCTTGAATTTTTTTGAGCTCTTTATTAACAGTAACACCATTTAGTTTTTTAAGCAAATACCATAGATTTTCGTCAAAACAAATCGCTGGAACTTCAGGATTAATAAAAGCGTTTGATTTACCTTTTTACTAATTCTTTAAAATATTATACGTCAAAATGTAAATATTATGTTGTAGTTGTAATACTGTATTACTAAAATATTGAAATCATTCCGACTTTGTTTCAATTACTCCATGTACATACTGGGTATGGACTATCGCTGTTATTATCAAAATTAGGTATCATATAAAATCAGTAATTTAGTGTGAATTATAAGTTCACGATCAATTTGAATCAAATCGAATACAAATTATATAAAAGACAAATTTTAAGATACCGTAAAATAACCTAACACTTAGTTTGATATGCTTGATCATAATGCATAATTTGCCGCCTCAGTTTATTAGTACCAAATTTGAAGTTTTGCGCAGATTTTCATATTTATATTAACCCGTACCCAAAAGCATATAAAGGCTAATAATTGTTGTTTATCCAAAAATAGGTGCAAAATATAAATATTATACGGATATTTATAAATTGATGAAATATATATTTATGTTCTGCTTCAATTTAAATTTAGGTTGCTTCGAAAATGATTATTTCACAAGCGGTGAAAATTTATCAAAAAGCATAAATTTACATATTCGCTTTTATTATGTATAAATGTTTCTTTGTCATTATTACATAAATTTAAAGTAAAGAAAATTTATAAAAGTCATCTCCCTATTTATACATCCACATCGTTTTTATATGTTTTTGAGCAGGAAAAAATTGTTCATTTTGCTCAGGAATTGCTAAATCACCAATTATCACTGAATTTTACAGTATTAGGTAAAAAATAAGTTGCTTATTTTTATATTAATATTGTATTATGGAAGCAAGGATTGTTTTTTTTTCACAAATGATCTTGTTTAAGAGTGAATAATCTTATAACGTTTAGTTGAAAAACCCATAGGATAAATTGGTGGAAATTTTTGAAAGCTCGTCTGGTGATACAAATTTTACATTCCCATATTGTCTCTGACCGGTCAGTTAACCGATCATTTACGATTATAACCAGTGTTCGAAATCTCAGATCTAAATACTGTTCTCATGAAAACATAGAGAACACTAATTTCGAACACTGGTTATAAACGGTTAATGACCGGTATTACCTAACAAATAATCCTTACTTTAATTAGACAGTTGTGTTTCTAAGTTATTTTCGGTTTGTTTAATTGAATAAAGCTTTTGGCCATGTCAATATTTAAGCATTGAGTTTTGTGAAGATCTGTATTTTTATTTTTTTTATTTTATTTTTTTTCTAATATATTCATCATAATATAAGTTTCAATAGTAATTTTATGAAAGAAAATTTGCTATTTGAGCGATGCCAAGACTTCAATTGTATAAGTTTTATATGGTCAACTGTCAATAGAAATAAGGCAAAAGACTTGTGTAATTAATATATATTTTCCTACGCCTCAGTTGATATAGATAAAAATATTAAATATTGAGAGACTTTTTTAAATTAAACTTATCCTATATCACGATTAAGAAAGCATGGATATTTTTGTTGGCGAATGTGTTGGTAAGCTCATAAGCCTTTAATAATGAATTATAGGATTTTCATAGAGTTTAAAATAAATGTTGATGATAACTATAGTACCAAAGCTTGTTAATTTTATTAAATATTTTTTGTGAATAACAGCGAATGTTATTGTTGTTACAAACTCTTATGATAGATTTTTTTCTACTTGTTATTTTTTGTACGTTATTACATAAGCACAACAATCTCGAATTAAAACTCAGTTAGCCAATAATAACTTGTAAATCATGATCATAATTGCACGATAACATCGATATTTGATCATACAACGATAATTATCATAAAATGTGTTCTGCCGGAACAAATGGTTGGCACAAGTCAGCCAACCATTTGCTCCGACAAACAAAATTTCATGATATTAATCGTTGCATGACCAATATCTTATAAGTAATGTATATGTTGTGCCTCATATCCTTTCCCGCGTCAGATCGAAGATGACGCACCTCAGATGCCGATCGTCAGGTGAGGTG